TGTTATTACTGATGACCTGAGCGCTGAGCCTCGGGCACAGAGCAAAAAGGTGTAGATGGCGCGCTCCAACCTTTGGCTGGTCTTGGGCAATCGTTCCGTTACCAAGGAGTCTGATCAAGGCATTCGANGCTTCCAATTATCAAAATGAATTTAAATAATTCCAGTTTAAGCATTTGTCTATACTTCGTGTGGTAAGTCAATGTGCATGAACTCGCAGAATGACTATTTGAGTTGTCCACAATAAAAATCCCTATGAATTTAAACATACAAAATACATGTAGACAATAATATGAAAAATTCATATTGATTGCTCTGTAGTTATTCCACCTTAATTTCACGTAAAAAATCCATGTTGATTTCTGCGTGAAAAAACCTTGAAGACATTTATTATCTGGACATCGGATGTAGAAAAAAATTTGCGAATTTTTATGTGCAAAGAATTATGCACATTTTTGCCATAAAAAGTTAATTGAAATTCCCGTTAAAAAAAAAAAAAAAAAAAAAAATATCCACATAGACAAAAGGTGTAGATTTTAACGAAATAAATGAAGGTGAGCAATCCACGCGTATTCAACGAGGAAAATCGATTTATAGTCCCGCATAAGAAATCTATGTGGAATTTCAAATGTAAAATCCGTGTAGGTGGCCTTGTAAAACATACATGTATATTTTTGCGTGAAAAATTCGTGGAATACTAAACAAATAAGAATCTCTGACTTTTCTTACGAAAAATTCGTCAAAATTACTACGTGGAAAATCCACGTAGATTTCCATGAGGACAATTCATATTCAACTCCATGTAGAAAATCCACATAGATTTCCCCGTAGAATCCATATAGATCCATGAAGAATCCACATCAAATCCACATGGAAGTCCACGTGGATATTCTACGTGGAAATTAAGATGGGGTCCCTTTTATTTATTTAGTTAACGCAAGTTAAAGTGCCCTGCGAGAGGCGACACTTCGCAAGTCAATATCTCAGCTAATAAACAAAATTTCGTAATGATTCTGGTGGTTAAAAACTGCTCTTTTTATCAACAAAGTTGCTCTTTCATTAAATTGTTAACATGATCTTTTTACCGTGGAGAAAAATCGTTTTTTTGATATTGCTATAAATCACATAGTTTCTAGGGGATTTTTGCGTTTCATTGGTTGGCTGCATCTACTGGCATATATATGTGTATACTCTGCTGCACGCGCGCATGTGTGATGCTGTAACAGACGACATTAAAATAACAAAAGCCAATTTGCTTATATCTTAAGTCATATAGCATAATACATCATGTATCGGTATAATTTTGTTGTTTTAATTTATTTACAGTCAGGACTCGATCCAGGTCAACAGCTGCAAAAAAACACCATTAGGCGCATGCAGCCCACTCAGCTATCATCATTGACTTCTAGGACTGTAATAGACGTAATATATAAATTACATGTCACCAGAGCTTGAGTTATACTTATATTGGCTGAAGAGATAGAGGGGTATCGAGATATATATAACTATATATGTACATGCTCTCTTCTACTAGCTCCACTCTTAGAGACGACTATAACTATAGACACGGAAGGGGGCTAGCCAATCATCGGAGTGTAAGAGAGAGAAAGCATATCCTGCTTTACGGGTCTTCTCTCTCTTTGCTAGTCTCGCGGCCGAAGCATTGTATGCACCCTCCAGGTATATATTTGCTCTAAGGCTTAAACGCATGATCCAAATTAAGCAACCAAGCCTTACCTTAGGTAGGTTTGTAATACGAGGCTGACTTGTGCGCAGTTTGGCCTGACTTGGCGTGACTTTCGCCTAGTAATCGCCCACTTACGTCTGAACTATATTGGATATATATATAAGGTGGTCGCGGTGGCGCAACGCTAGAGTTGCAGCTCCGTCGATCTCCAAGGTTAAGCTGCATTTGGCGCGGTTAGTACTTGGATGGGTGATTATCTGGTCACCATTCAGGTCTCACCCTTTCGCCTGTGCTCTTGATTCTCGAAGGTCGATTAACTATTTCTCTGACGCATCGTCTACGTGATCATAGGTGTGACTGAGTTGATCCAGATGTCTACATACGTATATAAACATCTGGTCATAACTCAGGTGTACTGATGGCTAATTAACACTATACTTGTGTAAAAAGATGCCATGTCTGAGCCTACGAGCGATGATGAATAAAAAAAAAAAAAAAAAAAGAATATATATAAGCATGCAAGTTTGTATACTCGCATGTCATCCTATTTTTAAACGTATATATAGACATCTCTGTATTATATTGACTTGCAGACAAAATTGGGCGATTACCGGGCGAAATTAATGCTAAGTCAGGCCAAGCTGTACCCAAGTCAGCGCCGTATTATAAACCTACTGGAGGCCAAGTCAGGTGCCAAACTGCGGACACGGTGGGCATCGTGGCAACCAATAAGCTTGGGCCCAGTTTTTGCCTACTTTCAATTTTGACTTGGGTTCAAACGGATTGTAGAAAAGTATTGACGCCCCATGTGAACGTGATCAGGGCACACCATAGGGCAATAGGGCACACTGTTTAATTGCTCTCGGCTGCAGTAACAATATTTTTACCACAGTTAACACAGCTGTGACACTCAAATACGTCCAATGTCTTAAATTTTGAAGTGCTCATGGGCCATTTTGTGCTACTAAGAACAAGGTGGAAAGGCGCGCAGTTCAAAATCGCAGAAAGCAGAGCTAGCTGTTATGAAAATTTTTGTTTGTTTATATTTTTCTTGACTGATGGATGAGGGTATAAAAGTAATTTTTATTATAAATCTGTTATGTACAAAATATTTAGCTAAAAAAGTACTCATAATGTCGGTTACAGTTTTATATAATTATGTATGTTAGCATTCAAGTTTTCGCAGATTGTACTACCAGGAACATGGTGCTTATCGGACACTTTTTTGTAACGTTGCGTTTTCTCGCCCTGTAACACGTAGAACGTAGAGTGTCCTGGACAGGGCAGTCCCGAAGCAAAGCTCAAAGACTCTTGAATTATCACCAATTCAGCACTAGAAATGACGCAAATGGCACGGCACCTGAAACACAAAAATACTACCGCTTAACGACGCTTGCGGCTCGGCCAACTCAGCTCGGCTCCTGGAGACTCTCACCTAGAGGAACTACCGCTAGGAGTAGTCCGTCGGGAAGCAAGCTACTCTCCCAGGGAGAAACGAGCCCCACGCCCTGAAAGAAAACGCTGTCCGGCACTGGCTTACAAAATAATGACACGGAATGCGGTTTTCTCATATTATTAACTTCAATTTATTTGTTACTACACTTATGTGGGCGCCTAGGCCCGGAAAATCTCGTCGCGATCTGTCGCTACGTCGTGGCACGAATTCCGTCAATCACGCTTCTTTCTCACCTGCGCTTACTCTACGATCCTTATCCCAGGGGCCGCCTCCCGCGGCTCGCCCTGGCTACACGCGGCCGATAAACGAACACACTCGCTCCCACGCACTACTTCTCGCGACGACACTACACGCTACTTTACCTCGGGGTTTACCATGGTACTCTCTGCTTCCGCGGATCCTCAGCTGGTAGCCTTGACCTCGCAGTGCACGGATGACGGTGGTGGTCGTTCCTGGGTCGTCGGGCGCAAGGTCGGGTCCGGTTGGCTGCTCGTGGTCGCTGGCTCTCCTTGTCCGTCTCTCCTTCTTCCTCGATTCTTTCTCTCAATTTTTATCGAAAACCCGAAAAACTCGAAAGTTCTGGTTCGCTCGAATGCCACTACAAGAGTGCTACGGTAGGCCCACCAATAGCACCAATTAGTGCAGCCTCGCGCATTACTGCACTGTATCTACATACATACTTCTGAACCTTACCGCCAGGACATCATTCACACACACTCGAACGCGACGTCATTTATAGTACATACTCTTAATACAGACACATATGTATACATACACTCTTCGTCGATGAAGCAACACTGGATAATTACAAATATTTTATAATACGCAATTACACAGGTAGACCCTTATGTACTAGAACTACACATTCTTGGACTTTTCTTCGGCGCTATGTCTTCTTTCCAATTTCTCACACATGAAACAAAATAACGGGCCCAACCCGGGTCTTGATTACTCTTATAGTAGGTATTTATAAATAAAAATAGATTCCACCTTGACGACGCGCTTCGGTGCTTAATGCAATGGGGTCAACGAAAAATGACACCGTCATATTTTAGCACGGAGTGTCGCAACTGTGTAAATTTCTTTTACAATTTACACCCCCTCTTCTCTAGATAGTATTGCTTTTTTGCATTGCACCTAACACTCCTACTGATGTTGCGTCTTAACCTTATTAGAGCATATATACCTGGAGGAAGCATCATCGTATATGTACTGGTTGCGAGACCAGGTGCGAGAGAGAGTCCGAGTACCAGTACATCCTGTCTCTCTTGTACACACTTCTCAAACATTTTGTTGTTTCCGCTCCAGTCTGATTTTACTATGTATACGGGTTTTTGGTGACAAATCACAAAGCGTGTGCGAGAGAGACAGGATGTACAGGAACTCGGACTGTCTCTCTCTCTCGCACCTGGTCTCGCAACCAGAACAAACGATGCTGCCTGCAGGTAAAATGTATGCTTTAAGGTCTGAACACACCATTACACTGTGGCAGTGATCAGTGGCTTCTGAAGTTTCTGAAGTCCGTATGAGCTATGGGCCCCATAGTATGGGGTCGCCTTATTGTGCGTTGCATAGACATACAAGAAATAAAGACTACTCGTTCATCTGTATGGCGCTGAAGGCTGAAGCACAAGTATAAGGAGACACAACATTGAACGTGGGGATCTATCTCTCGCACATTTCCACCTTTAGCAATGTGTAAGAGACAGATAACCAACATCGATGTTGTGTCTCCTTCTACTTGTGCTTTAGTAGGCTTCATTAGAAGAGTAGTCCATATGTCTGATGTCTGTAATGCGTTGCGTATTTTGTTTTCTCCCTGTGACAGCACCCTTATCAAAAACGAGACGTGGCCGTTGTACGAATAACGAATACCAATCAAGTTAGACGTTCGCTTAATGTGGTTATCGTCATCAAATTTTCCTATCGTTATCAAATTCTCCAAATCTCAAAAAAGTTTGTAAATCATGAGTTTTATCCAAGTTCTTGGCAGATTGTGGCAAGAATACATTAAGTCGACTCCAAAAAAACTGAAAATCCTTGACTCATATCTTATATATATTGTAATCACAGCAGTTTACCAATTTATTTACTGCAGCTTAGTAGGTACATTCCCATTCAACAGCTTTTTGAGTGGGTTTATATGCTGTGTAGCATGTTTTGTGTTGGGAGGTAAGTCGATGAATATTACATTCGTAAGCTAATTTTTATTGAAATTTCTAGTTTTATATCTTGCCAATTACAGACAACTTTACTGTTATAAATGTTACTTAATTACAATAAAACAATTTGTACAGTGTCGTCTAGGGTGCTTAAGAATTCCGAAATGCTTTGCCATATTCTCAGAAATCGCGTTCTTAATCTATTGTTTTATGACTAATTCTTATTTTAGTTGTTACTTTGAGCTGCATCTAAGTATCTAATGTATGGAAATTTGTATCACCTGCTTTACTAAACTTAATTTTAACACTAAACTCACAACAGCTTTTGTATCAAAATGCTGTGGTGTTTTGTTACACTTAAAAATGTTACTGTAACGGCCATTAATCAACTGTTTAGAGTAAACAACTGAGAAGAAACGATCAGAGATGATAAATATCTACTCCAAGGCATTTTTGCAGCATAATATCAATTTGATATATTTAGAATCAATTTTAAAAACAAGACTATTGATACAATCACTAATGGCCTCCCTAGAGCTTCGCTCGCTTACTGGCGCTGTAAAAAGGAACCAAATTCTACCAAGTACCAGCAGTAGAGTAACCAACCACGTATCTGTGGAACTAACAAAAAAAAAAGTTCTTAAAAATAATAATGATTTTTAAACATTTCATAAAATAAAATTTAAAAAATCCGCCACTTTTTCAGCCATAATTTCCGTAATTCAAAGTTGGTAGCACTGTCGTAATAAGCATGTCATGAAGCCAACTTCTCAAAGGTTGGGCTAAACTACACATCCGCCAAAGAAAAAATACTTATGGACCTTGATCGGCCACTGACACATGTTAGCTAAATCCATCTGAGGCAAAGAGAATAAAAAAAAACGTTATGTACAAGGCACCGCGGTAGAATCTGCTGTACTAGCCTAGCTTAAAAATGTCCGCTCTCTTTTAATTACGGAAAATGTATTTATGTTAACTCGCCAGTACTCATTAGTTTAGTTGTAGACAATTATGTCCTACTATAACGGTTTACTTGAGTTGTAGCAGCTCACAATACAAAATTCCCTTTAAATCCCACCAAATTCGAAGCATTTAGGTAAATGTATCATTGCTCTGTCATTTTATTAGGTCAATTTCTAAAGTACTCCATGAATATAAAAAAGAAACGTAAAATTTCGTCTTAATGGGTATTAATTGATTGTTATGACATTCCAAGCTGTATCCAGAAGAAATAATTTTTTTGCCAACACAGGACAAAAGTTTTTATTTATTGTTTGACTTAATTAAATGTCCCAATTCTTGACTACTGTAGAAAAAACGCGTCTCTGTGGCCAAAACTTCAAGTCGCAATAACTTGCCAGACGTATAAATTGTACGCAATTAATCTTGGCCAATTATTAAGTAATATGTACCTAAAGTGAGGTCACCATGGCAAATGTCCTAATGCCTAGCCAGCCGATCAATGTCTCTTTCTAGAAACACTTTTTTTTTAATTTTTGGATTGAAGTATCATCGAAATAACTTTAAACCATGAAGTGTATACAATCCCTTAGTGTGAATATAGATGAAAATATTTTTTACAACGACAGAAATTCGTGCGAATCGTTTAAGTGTGATTGTGGCCAGGCTTTGGCGACAATTTTTTGGTGACCAAGCATTGTTACATTTCATTACCTGTAGAAATTTTGCGTTTTGGAATTGACGTAGAGGGTTGTCCGCGATCAATACATGATTTTTTCTGCTTGGGGTTAGCGAAATAAATCCAATCTTCATCTTTTGTTATAATTTTCTACTAAAACGACTTCTCATGATGTTTAACAAGAAGAAAATAGCAAGTATCGATTCGTTCAATTTTGTTTCTTTTTCCTTTATCTGGTGTAAAACCCATTTTTCTGCCTTTGCCATTTTTCTCATCAGTTTTAAGTGTCTGGCAATTATTGCTTTATCAACTCCAAGCACTTCTGCCAATCCTTGTTGAGTCCGAAATGTATTCTCATTAAGCAAAGCTTGCAAATCATTACCTAAATACTTTTCTGGACTTAATACCTTCACGTTCATGGTTACGTAAACTCAAACCACCACTTTTAAACCGCTTGCACCATCTAGTGACAGTTGGATATGTTATAAAATCATCGTTAAAAATTTTATTTAATGATTCAAAGGCATCTTTTGTCTTTTTTTTTTTTGTTGATATTCATAAAGAAGACGATGGCTAAACTGTTCCTCACTTAGAGACAATGTTAACCTCTTTCTGTTATACATTAAACGAAATCGTTGGTAAATTTTTACATATAGTTTTAGTAGAGCGCCACCACACCATAAGAGAGCATGAGAAATTTAAAAGTTAAAATAACTGTTCAGCGTTTAAATAAAAAATTTTAATTTTTTTTACCCACTCACAGTTTCTAATAATAATAGTTATTAAACAAACGCCTCCAACAAAAAACTCGCACTCGAGCCTTTCGTTTTTGATAAATAAAAGCGTTAATTAAACAATCACCTGTAACAGAATAATCCAGTGCCCTCTAGTCTTTTCCTCTCACATAATTTAAAATGCTTATTAATGATAAAATTCCTTTAACAAAATAATTATATTTAACGTTGCAAACTTCGATTATATAATCCGGTACGCCCAAGTATTTCCAGTTTTAGTTAATCATGGTGTTAATAAATAATTGCTTATAAAAATATGACCCAGTACGCTTAAGTCTTCTCACCCTTAATAAATTAAAGGTCAATTATTAATCAAGCACCTTAAACGGCAAAATCCAGTGCTTTTAATTTTTTCATCTTACTAATACTAATGATATATAAAGTAAAGTCGCTAAAACCGTTGTAATCGCTAACCGCGAAAACTACTGAACCGATTTTGCTGAAATTTTGCATACCGATTCTTGACACTTCTGAGATAGTTTTAGAATGGTTTTTATCTTGAAAAATTAAATAACAATAGCAATAAGTATGCTCAAAGTTTTGCAAAAATACACCAGCTTTTCACTTTAGTTCAGTAGGATCCGCTAGGCGGCGTCGACAGAAAATCGAAGCTACCTGCAACAGAATTAAATAAGTGTGGTTATAGTAGGCCAGAGAGTCTCAGTGATTTCTGTCTTCTTTTACCGGCAGTTCATCAAGCTGCATCGAGAATGTAGATCGATGATAGTCGTATGACTCTGAAGTTTGCAACGTTGCGTGCAACGAAAATAAAGAAAAAAATTTTTTTTTTTTTTTATAAATTGCTTTAAATGCTTCAACAAGTAATAAGAAAGGCTCCCAGCAATTTTTAGATCATAAAAATGTACCCTTCTTGAGATATAAAAGTTTAGGGATTGACTCGAGTGTGTAGGCGTCAAAAAGCACTTTTCGTGTTCGAAAACTTGTTTTTTATTTGAGTTTATCATTAAAAAAAATACCGAAAAATACCTACATTTCAAAGGAATCTTATATCACAAGCTGCACGCCACAAAAAATGCTTGAACTTACAGTAAAATAATAAGCTACATACAAAATAATACGTTCCAACAATTTTCGTCTTCCGAAATTATTAATTACAATTGTTATATCGCAAAAATGACCGAAAAATACGTAACTTTAAGGAAAATTTATTATCACTGGCTGTACGCCACTAATAATTCATAGAAATTAATTAATTTTACTTTGCACTTACGAGAGTTATAAGTTCAAACAATTTTCGTCTTCCGGAATTATTAATTACGATTATTATATCGCAAAAATGACCGAAAAATACGTAACTTTAAGGAAAATTTATTATCACTGGCTGTACGCCACTAATAATTCATAGAAATTAATTAATTTTACTTTGCACTTACGAGAGTTATAAGTTCAAACAATTTTCGTCTTCCGGAATTATTAATTACGATTATTATATCGCAAAAATGACCGAAAAGTTTGGAAATTTAGGGAAAATTTAGTATCAAAGGCTGTACGCCACTGATAATGCATAGAAATTGATAAAAATTACTTTGTACACGTTAGACTTATAAGTTCCGACACTTTTCATCTTCCGGCATTATTAATTACGCGTATTATATCGCAAAAATGACTGAAAAGTGTGGAAATTTAGGGAAAATTTATTGTCACAGACTGTACGCCACTGATAATTCATAAAAATTAATAAAAATTACTTTGTACTAATGAGACTTATAAGTTTCAACACTTGTTGTCTTCTGGAATTATTAATTACGAGTATTATATCGCAAAAATGATCTAAAAGTACGGAAATTCAGGGAAAATTTATTGTCACAGGCTGTACGCCACTGAAAATGCATAGAAATTGATTAATATCACTTACTGTATAAAAAGGATATGAGTTCTAATAATTTTTGTCTTGCAGAATTATTAATTACGCGTACTATATAGCAAAATTTACCGAAAAAAAATAAAAATTTAGAAAAAATTTATTATCGCAGGCTGTACGCAACTAATAACGCATAGAAATCAATTAATATTACTTAGAATATATAAAAGTTATGAATTCTAACAATTTTCGTCTTTCGGAAATTTTAATTGAGCATACTATATGGCAAAAATGACCAAAAAAAACAGAAATTTAGGAAAGATTTATTATTACGGGCTGTACGCCACTGATAATGCATAGAAATTGATTAACATCAATTAGTTCATATAAAACTTATTGTTTCTTACAATTTTTGTCTTGTGGAATTATTAATTACGCGTACTATTTAGCAAAATTGACCGAAAAATGATGCAAATTT